TCAGCCGCACAAATGTTGCACTTGCACCCAAAGATTAACGTTAATAATTAATTAAAATGTCTAAGTGCATGAGCATGCTAATTTAAACATTCTTCTTCCATGAAAATTCCCAGCAGCAGCAGCATGTCTGCATGGGGATCATGAGCATGAATTAGGGTTTGACATGGGCTTCTTCCTCTCATCCTCTCCAACCCTTGCCCTAACTACCAACATCAAAGATTCCTTCTTAGTTGATCAAGTTTGGTTTAATATATTGGGAATTAAATATATAGGAAAATTATAAAACACGTAATGAGTTTTGAGCTCATAATTTTAGCGTTTATGATATAGTTTATAATGCACGAGTTATACTTTTAAATAAATTGATACATATATCAACATGTCAATCACGTGGTGCGTCATATACACAAGCATATATATTATTTGTTCATTACGTCTGTCTTTCTATTAAAGAACATATTTATATTCTATTTCAATAATGTTATTATTTATATCTCAATTATAACAAAAACGTAACAATACACGTCTACAATTTTTTATTGGTATGTTATCTATTAATGCTATCAAGAACTTATCATCACAAATTATATTAACAGTTCATCATTTAGTAAAGAATTAACATCTTGTCCAGAAATGAACTGATCATATATATTATATATGTCAGGCGGCTGGTAGTGTATATAGGATTGTTGTAATCCAGTCCAGATTGTATCTTTTGCATGCTTTAGGTTGAGAGACAAGTAGAAGATTTAATTTTGACCTTTGTCTATGCGATCTGTATGAGACCCTAAAAACCTATTGAACTTTAAGATTTGGGTCCATAAAATATATTACCCTGTTTATACTTCACGCTTGCCCTTAAAACATAGGACATGGAGGTCCCTTGAGGAATTTGAACAGCACATTCTTTTTCATACCTTTCCATTAAAATACAAGGCAAAATGCCAGACCAAAGTTGACCTTCGTTTCCCTTGCTGCTATAAAATTCAATACCGAAATATACTGCCGACGAAAAAGACAAACCACAACAAACCTGACTTTATATATTTTTAGTCTGCATCAAGGAAAAGAAAAAAAAAAAAACGACTGAAGAAACTTGAGTCTTAAGTCATTTAGTAGTACATTTTAATAGTAATTCTTTCATTTGTAAGCAGAAAGTCTTAAGTTTGAATTTTGTAGAAGATGAGTTCAATATCAATTTATTATGACTAGCTCATTAAGTTTTCAACTAATTATATTATTGCTCTTGGTATATCGGAATTGAAAAATCTCTCCATGTTGAGGAAATAGTTATTAAATTTGGTTGTTTAGTTTTAGAAACCCTAATCAGTGTCTTAATTGGATGATTATATCATATTAAACAAGTAACGGACACATACTAGGTTACTACTTACTAGATAACAATGAGAGAGGATCCTCGCGCGGATTCTCATATTCGTTCATCATGAATCGTGCGGTTAGTTTTCATCAAGTACTGTTTATATTCAATTTTACATAAAAAATTTGTAATGATTTCTTATGCATGATGTACGATTAACGAATGTGATTTAAGAATCACCGGAATTCTCACAAAAAAATCCGACAAGTATCCTTGCTCGATAACAATGTTGCATCATTCGACTTTAACATTTTGACTGTTAGATATTTATGTACTTTTCCTCGATTAAGCATGAAATTTAACACACTTTTGTGAAAAGTCAACAATATTTGCGTGTGGGGAAGAAATATGGCAACCCTTTATTAGCATACTCAATCTTGACGGAGCTGGCCCCATATGATCAATTTTTCATAAAGACAATAGCACAACAAAGTAGTTTCGTTTTAGAGATTAAATGAAATTTTATTAACAACGATCAATTAGTTCATTAGTAAACATGTTAAACATAATCAAGATAATAACACAACAATAGCCACTTCTCAAAGATTCGAGCTTGAGTAGTAATCATAGCTGATATAAAGATTTTATCAACCACCACGATCAATAGTTCAAAAGGTAATAAATCATAGCAACCACAACCATGAAGACTAACCGCCAGAGCGGAAGGACCAGCGCTACCAACATATGAATATAGCCAAAAGATAGGAGAAACATAGAGAGGAAGGAAAGGAAGAGATCAAAAGAGATTGTCGCCAACCTCTCAAGACCAAAAACAAGGTCGGCAACGAAGGTTTTTTCTCTTTATAAGTTATATATCGCATGCGGGTTAAACTTAACGTGTGCATTAATAAAATCACTTTGAATGTATTATGACCAAACTAAACTGAAATATTGATTTTTTCAATATTTTTGTTTCACATAAAATTTCTAACTTACGTGGTTAAGAACAATTATTCATACCTACACCAAGCAAATGTACGTATAGTTCTTGTGCATTTTTAATATAGGGCGATGACCAATTATAACATTGATTTATATGGCCAATTTGCTAAGATAAAACACATTGGATTCGATTTGATCATATTCCCCTTATGAGATTTTTACAGTTTATTGAATTTATTTAGGGGTTTAATTTTAGTAATTGTTAAGGTTTTCCTAAATCTCATTGGATTCTATTTAGTCATATTCCATGCTTGGTTGGCTAATCTGAACTCTTTTTACTTTTAAAAGTAATCTTAAGGTCAAAAACAAAGGCTTATCTTCTAAACTCCAAAGCACTATTGTCTTATTCTATATTTTTCCTTATAACCGAAGCCTTGTGCAATGCTCAAAAACCAAGTAAAAAAGTATATGGAATTCGAAAAATAAATATGTATAACCCAATAGGCAATGTCTCAATTATTATTAACAAATATATGTACTCATTTCTTCTCACCATGGAGACTTCATCATGTGCTATTGAAATAAAAACACTAATTATTTAAATAGAGCATTTCATGACAATCGAATTGTCCAATCATAATGTTTTGTACTTCTACTCCTAACTATGAATATAATATTCATTTTAAAGAGTACTATATATACAAGCGCGTTTACGAGATGAATGATGGATGAACTAATTCAAAAGTCAGTAAATTTTAGATACGAGCATTTCTATTATTGTATTTTTACCAACGGCTCACTTGTACCTCAAATTTAGGATGATTTTTAACGTCAAGAAGAAAAGTACCGCTGAACGAATAGTTGATTGGTAACTTAGCTCTATATAGTTATTAAACATTGAGATATATAATTTGGAGTAAGGCATGAATATGTAGTGTATTGCTTCAAATACAGGTTCACAAAACAAAACAATAAATGATGAACGTGAATACCATGTGAAGTCATGCAGATGGAGATGGACTGTTCATGCATAGCAGTGAGCAGTTAATAATACAGAAGCAGACGTATTATGTAGTCTATGTATCTGAAATGTGAAGCAATCTGACACTTGAACCTAGCTAGGTATATAATCGAGTCCTCAGCCTCCGGCACTTACTGGACCAACCTACAGCTACGAAACATGATTGATCCTGCTCTAGCTAAAGATATTAAGTTGCAAATGCTGAAACTCCAAGCTGACATATTGCTCGATCTTTCACCTCAGTAGCTTTTTGGTTATTGTATTGTGAAACCCTAATGAGATATTTACTTATCAATGATGGAAAGTAAAGAATAAGAAACTTATGAATAGCAGAAGTAAGGAATGAGAATGAGATTCAAATTACTTTTCCGAGTTTATTTAACTATTGATTTTAACGGTATTGGATTACAAATTACAAAGTAAGATCCACATACCATACCTAGTACATGTTGAGAAGTCGGGAATTAGAATGATTCATGCGTACAGATTTATAATAAGTAAATAACATGCAATAAATTACACGTCAACAATCTTGTGGACGAGATTTTATGGAGATACTAAAGCAACAACGGTTACGAAACTAAAAGTCAATTTTAGCTAACACTTTTGAAGAAACAGGCATTGAGTGATGGTTACGAAATAGCGTTCAAAAACAAAAGAGCCGCTCGTCGATCATCATCGATCTGTAATGTGTTACTCTCTCCATACAGCAATGATATCTCAGATCCTAAATCTGCCACAAATTTCATCATTTCATGAATTATGAAATATTGTTGTCGACTGTTTCTAGGTTGATTCTGTTCATCTGGATTCCAGAATAGTTTTTTTCCTGGTGGGTTATGAACTTGTGGATTGTATAGGATCCCAGATTGAATTTTCTTTTTATCAAAGAGAGACTAGCCAGTAATTTCGTCACGAAGTCCATTTTTTAAGAAACTGGGAAGACTCACATAGACATTTTAGCATCTTATGGCCACCATACGATTCATCAGCGCCTGAAATTGAACTCAAGACGTGCTGTGTGAAATAAAAACTTGAAATTCATCTTCAACCACTAGCTTACCCTAATATATTTTTCTTCTCGAAAATATGAAATATTACCAATTTACCAGGGGTATCTTGGGGTCATGAGTCTATAAAATTTGGTACGGAGTTCCAGCCTGTTTCCTTGACTATTCCCCCTTTTATTTCCTTCACAATTGGTGCTCAACATTTCTTCAAGGTCACACTGATTACTTGTCCCCCATGTAATCATAATCCCTCCTTATTATAAAACATTTATTTTATTTAAAAATTGATGTTTGACTAACAAAATACTTCTCTTTAAATATACAAGAGATCCCTTACATAAAATCTGAAATTATTAACTGTTTGTATATGTAAGATATGTTAATTGTTTTTATATCCCCTTTCATAGTCTTGTTAAAAAAGAAAATTGTAAAGCCACTAAGTACTACGATTTAATCATATTTCTGTTTACTTGTAAGTGAGAAATCTTTAATGCGATTCTTCACAAAGACGAATTTAAACTACATTATTACACAATGAGCTTAGCCTACCCCCAACCATTTGGTGTAAAAATATCGTTTGTTAAAAAAAATATATAAAAACAATTGTAAATTCTTTAGAGAGAATAAAAAGACCCAAAAAAGGAGGGTTTTATGTTCTGCAAAACCTGATTTAAGTTTCGGATTATCTATCACCCTCAGCAGTCGGCACGCATTTAGACATCGCCATAGGAGTAAACAAATACAAAGAAAGGAAAAGAGAGAAATTTGAAGAAACAGCAAAAGAAAGCTTCGATTTTTTTCATGCTTCTCTTTTACCGTATGTAACGTTGAAACGCAGTCTCTCTCCTCATCACCTAACACTGACAACTCCAACCCTTCTTATTAACCCCACCACCTCCATTTGCTCTCCCCAGAATTCCATGTGCCTCTCTTCTCTTCTCCATTCCCCTTGGACTGCACACACACACATTAGCCTCTGTGCTTGTGAGTTGTGACCCCCCATTTTTGTTTGGAGTTTTTCAAAAGGGGCAAGTGCTTCTGGGGAAGAGTGCTTCTCTGCCTCCTGTCTCACTATCTGAGCTTGGATACAAAAACCCATTTGCCCAATTGAGAAACCCCAGAAAGGAAACCCACCAATATTTACATTACAGATAATGGGATTGATTTGGTTCTGTGACAGCAGCCCCATTTCCAAGTTGGGTTTTTCTGGGTTCCTTAAATAAGAGATCTAGAAGATTGAGTTGAAGAAAATTTTCAAATTGAATTGAAGAAAAAGGTACCAATTCTGAAACTTTCGGTATACAGAACCTCTCTATATGGTTATTTCTTGCTGCATTTATATGTACATTATATATGTATATATATATTCCCTGTTTGTTTGCTGGGCTAAATGTAGAAAATATTAAATGGGGTTTTTTTTGAAGATTTTACTGTTCTTGTTGTTATTACCATAGATGTTAAAAGTTCAAACTCGTTTCAACTTTTGTGGGTAATGTAGAATTGGACTTAGGTAAGCCAAGTGCCAAGTGTTTGTTGTATTAGGCTTAGTGGGTTTCTGCAGTTATTGGTTTAATTGGGTAGGGTGAAAAATGATTAAAGTCTTAGTCTTTATCGATTGTTTTTGTATTGGATATGGAATGATGTGGGAATGCATTAGTTGGTTATGCTGTTAATATGTTTTCACAGTTTGAAAGTGAGTGGAATTGGAAGGAGAAATCTTTGTGCATTTTATTTATCCTGCTCCTTTTTTGGTTTATGCTTCATATTTGCCAAGTTGCCTATTGGGCTGAGTTTATTTCCCTGTTCACTTTGGTGTTCTGTGCTCTGCATCTTCTTTGTGAGATTGTGGATTGTGGTTGAGTCTGTTTTCTTGACCACGTTGGTTTTCCGCTCTCTCTCTCTCGCACTACATATTTGTTTCAGTAACGCATTATGGTCTACCGCGTTCTTTACTTTTATTATGTTCCCAATTTGTGAATGTGTGTTTTTGTCTTTGAAAAGAAAAAAATTGATGGCCATTGAAAGAGGTGAAATTTTGGCGATATAAGCAGTTAAATTCAGTAACAAAATGCTACATATGCAAAAGGTTGAGTTTTTTAATGCATGGAATTGGAGTTCTCATTTCTTTGTTTTGAACTCTACAGGGTCCTTTGTATCAAGAGAGCATGGCATCCGGTCTTGATACTGTATTAGCCAAGAAGACATTTGTCTTCGGTTTAAAGGTTTGGGTATTAACAGGGATCATTGTGGGAGTTTTTATAGTGATGATTCTTGCGGTGCTATCAATTTGTCTTACTTCGCGAAAGAGATCAAGAAAGACTAATGACGTGCTTCCTCTGGGCCGAATTCCAAATGATTCAAAGGAAATCAAAGAGATCAGGGTTGATCAAGCTTCAGCAAATAACTATATACCCCGTAATATTTCTTCTCTCACCCTTGGTGATAAATTCAGTGACAGAGAGTCAGAGAACGTGTTGATCCATAAGAATGGAGATAGTAGCAGTCGATCAGGCTCATTTAACAATGCGGAGAAGGAAACTGTTGGTTCTCAATCTGGAGATGAGAGTGGTGCAGCTAATATGTACAAGCCTTCTTCACAGCCTATAACTGCCTCTTCACCTCTATCTGGTCTACCTGAATTTTCTCGCCTTGGTTGGGGTCACTGGTTTACATTAAGGGACCTCGAATTTGCAACAAGTCGGTTTTCAAAGGAAAATGTCATTGGTGAGGGTGGATATGGAGTTGTTTATCGGGGTAATCTGATTAATGGATCTCCTGTGGCTGTGAAGAAGCTACTCAACAACCTGTAAGATGCATCTTATTTCCATAGCTTTATGGCCTTCTGTTTTTTGTATTTTCTCTTTTCCTTACAATTCAATTGTTTGGGTTTATAACATTATATATTTTCAATCATCTCATAGAGGACAAGCAGAGAAGGAATTCAGAGTAGAAGTTGAGGCTATTGGGCATGTACGACACAAAAACTTGGTTCGACTTTTGGGATACTGCATCGAAGGCACCCACAGGTACCATACCCTTTAGTTTTACTGTAATGGCTTCCACATGGTAAAATAAAGCAGTAATGTATTAGCTGAGCATCTTGTTTTGGTTTGGATAAAGTAAAGAGTACCACTGTCACATCCTTAATTATATTCTTAAGCGAAAGAGTTTTGTACAGGTTGCTGGTTTATGAGTACGTCAACAATGGAAATTTGGAACAATGGCTACATGGAGCTATGTGCCATCATGGATATCTCACATGGGAGGCACGCATGAAAGTTCTTCTTGGCACCGCTAAAGCGTTAGTCTTCCTATACCTTAGTTTGAGTTGTTTACCCTTGTGGTTTATCTCCTCCGACTCTTTTTCATGTTTTTCAGGTTGGCTTATTTGCATGAGGCCATTGAACCAAAAGTTGTGCATCGAGACATTAAGTCGAGCAATATCTTGCTTGATGATGACTTCAATGCTAAGATTTCCGACTTTGGTCTGGCAAAGTTGCTAGGTGCCGGGAAGAGTCATATTACGACTAGAGTTATGGGTACCTTTGGGTGAGTACCTTTTTTCCGTTAGGAACAGCTGCAAATATTTGTATGAAGATTCTTGTGTTGATAGAAGAACACTATATCGTTATTTTAGAGTAATCCTTTCTTATCAGCTCCTTTCATCATTCTTTTTCAGATATGTGGCCCCAGAATATGCCAACTCTGGCCTTCTAAATGAGAAGAGTGATGTTTATAGCTTTGGGGTTGTGATTTTGGAAGCAATCACTGGAAGAGATCCAGTGGATTATGGTCGGCCAGAACAAGAGGTATGACAAAATTGTTCCTATTTTGAAGTGAGAATTTTGAGATCAAATATGCATTTTAGTTCTGCGTTCTTATATTAAGGTTGCATGTCATATTCGATAATCTGCTTTTAAATTCATAATTTACACGGGAAAATGTAAATTTTAGCTGGAAATTCTTGCTTCCGAACAGAAGCATACCCACAAAAACCTTGGAGTTGTTTGATATGTTCTGTGACAGCAATCTATCTTTATATTTATCTGCTTCCATTAGGGGAAGAAAAAAGAAGAAAAAGGAATGATACCAGTGTAGTAACAGTTGTCCTTACACCTGCTGCGTGGTTCTTGCAGGTAAATTTGGTAGATTGGCTCAAGATGATGGTTGGAAGCAGGCGTTCAGAAGAGGTGGTAGATCCGAACATTGAGACCAGGCCATCTACGAGCGCCCTTAAACGAGCCCTTTTGACTGCACTGAGGTGTGTAGATCCAGATTCTGATAAAAGGCCTAAAATGGGGCAAGTGGTTCGCATGCTTGAATCGGAGGAGTATCCCATACCGCGAGAGGTATGTCTCTGAAATAATCTTGAAATAAGAATGCTAAAAATACCTTACATCCATTTTTGACACAAATATATAGATTCATTCAAATTTCTGGCTTGCGTGGTTTTTTTTTTTTTTTTTTTTTTTTTCAATTGGTCTCATCCTTATACCCTGAGGAGTTCATAAGTTGATCTATCTATTGTAACTTGGTTGGAATTTAGGACCGAAGACGCCGAAGAAATCAAGCAGGGAATACAGAATCCGAGTCTCTGAATTCTGATACAGATAAGGGTGAGAATCCAGATGCAAAGACAGATAGCAGAAGGAACCATCGAACATAGGCACGTGGGCGAATCAATCATACAAATGCAAGGAGTACAAGTTGTTGATGCACAAACACAAGTCAAAGGGGACATTTTGCACTCGTTTAAGGCTTTCATATCCTTCAGCCTGCCATAGTTGAGATCAAGGGAAGGAATTGAAACGAGATGAAGGACGAAAATGAGAAGCAACTTTTTCTTTTCTTTTCCTTTTGAATATATAAACCTACATATAGGTGTTGAGAGATTGTTATTGTGTGTGGAGTGGCATTGGAAGGGGATGCCTTTGCCACCGGTTGTGTACAGTTATCGGTTTTTTTCTTTTCCCTTTTGTTTAGGTGATTGTAGTTCATGAGATTTTTCCTGAGGACATGCTAAAGTTTACAGGAAGAAACGTTTTTGGCTTGCATTGAGTGTTTCTACAAGCATTGTGTTAGGTTTACGACCGCGACTGCAACCGCAACAGCAACAGCAACGGGAGCTTGGTTGACATGTCAAGCCATGTTCCCGTACATTTGAAGCAAAATGTGAGATGTTGAAACTCAGCACAAAGAAACGCAGTCATATAATTGCTAAGTTCAATATAAGGGTTGCATTGTTAGTTATTAGGGGAGGTGGATTGTACCCGCATCAAGGTGCATAAGCATCATTATTTTTCGTTTCTGCGATGAAGCACCATTCTCTCAACTTTTTTGAGTAAACGCATGCGTGTTCAGCCCCGTACATTTTTTATTAGATTTGATCTAACGATCCTCGGTCATTTGGTTTTCACCATTGGATCAATTAAAACTGTCAAATATTTGTTGCGCTATGCGAACATCTTTTTTTTTCCTGACATTCACCTTGGATTTTGCATAGACATTGAGCCTATATACAATCCGATCGTGTTTGAATAAAGCATGTTATCCACCCACCAAAAAGGGTCGCAAGTCGCAACCATTATGGGATGGTTTGTTCAGTCAAACATATGTACTAAACAAAAACACATATATAGATTAGATCAGTTGGTCAGGATAATGTGTCTAACTCAGAGCATCCAAGTTCAAATTGCCTCCCTATAAATTACAATAGTTTAGAATATAGTTGCGCAAAAATAAAAACATAAATAACATGTTTCCAGACCAGCACAGAATAAAAACAGCTTGTTACCATTGTTCAAACAAAATAAAAAAACCATATTACCATGTTTGGAATCTTATTCTCTGCAAATATATGTACAGTTCCAGGAGACTCAACAGACACCCAAGAAAAAGGTTCTTGCTGTAGAATGGTCAAATAATCCAAGGCTCCAACTTTTGGAACTTGCAAGAGTTAGTGTGAATTACATAGGGGGTCATTAAGATTTTGATGACTAAAAGGAACCGAACAATGGCATACGATCTACAGAAACTGTGGTTACCAAACAAATCTCAGTGAAGTTGTCTGCACGAACGAGTGACATGTCGGGAATCCAGAAGTTTGTTGTTTCAATGGCGCGGAGTGGACCGAGCATGCAATAGAGGTTGTAGAGCGTTGACAACAATGCTCATATTTGGCCGGAAATTAGCTTCATATTGGACGCACAAGGCGGCAACAGCAGCAAACTGTTTCAAGCACGTACAAATTGTGATCAGTGGATTTGGAGTAAACCAGCTACCTGCCTTTTCAATTAGTCTATAACTGGTCGAACGAAAAGTATGTCGTGTTCTTGTCCATCCAGTCAACAATTTAAACATAACATAATTGTATATGTGTGTAAACCTATTAAGGAAAAATAGCTTCGGCAAGTATTTCTCGGAATCAAGAAACCGGTGGTGAATAATTACTCAAAAGTGTTCCCCATTACCTTTGCAACTGCCTTGGAAGGGTATTCTCCATTGAGTCTAGCATCAACACACTGCTTCACCTTATCCTCACTGAGTTTAGGCGTTGCCTAATAGAACCATATATTCGAGAAACAAACTCAGCTAAATGAAAGATGAAAACCAGTAAAAAGTAAAATTCTCAGCTTCCACCCCTCCAGAATGAATAAAAAAAAAAAGATGCAAGAACCAAGCATGAGTTACAAGTAGACAAGAACTAGGTTGAAATTAGTACCCATGTCACAAGGCTCTGCTGCCCACGCGGCAATGTGTGATCAACAGGTTTACGCCCAGTCAAGAGTTCAAGCAACACTACACCAAAGCTGTAAACATCACTTTTTGAACTCAGCTCTCCGGTCATTGCATATCTGCCATTTGGAATCACACATAAGAATTACAAGGGGAACGATGTATATGCCAACTCAAAATTTTGAGTGTACATCATAACGTGATTTATACAGTACATCAAGGAAGAACTTACTCTGGAGCATGATAACCAAAAGTCCCAAGAACACGAGTAGAATGAAGACGTGCTGCCATATCAGGTGCTTGATTTGACAGATCAAAATCAGCAATCTTTGCAACATCATCATCAAAAAGCAGTATATTGCAGGACTTAATATCACGATGGACTATACGAGGCTGAGCCTTTTCATGTAGATATTCAAGTCCTCTAGCTGCTCCTACAGCAATTTTAACCCTTTGTACCCATGACAAAACCGGACCTGGCTGTGCTCCCTTAACACCTTTCTTTCCTGTAGCCACACAAAGTGAAACAAAATTCTATTAGCATAGAGGTGAAGGCGATCTTACTAATTATCAAAGAGATACAGCTCAAAAATTTGCAGCAGAAGAGCTATTTTCTATTGTTTGGAGGCCAACCCGCTCGTTTAGCAGATTAGGAGAAATCCCAGGCGTCATTAGACACAAACAACCATCAACTACTTGACTTTCAACCTAATAGTTATTAAGCCTCATTCTAAATTTGTAAACAAAAGAAATTCTGTGTGCATAAAGCTTCGCTCAAAAAACAACTATGTGGTCCTTGATTATAATTTTTGGAGGTTCTAAATAACACCACACGACAGAAATTTGGAAATGTTACTTACCGTGGATAATATCGTGAAGAGACCCATTTGGAGCATACTCATAGGCAAGGAGACGGAGAGGGCCATCAACACAATAACCAACAAGCTCCACAACATTTTCATGTTTTAGTCTTGAAACCACGGAGACCTGTAAAATTATGCTCCAAGCATTAAATAAATTTCAGCACCAAATCACATACAACGTTAAGCAGAAAACACAAAACATTCCGTAGACTAAACCTGCGATAAAAATTCTCGCTCCAGTTGTTTACTGGAATCTAACTTCTTAATAGCTGCAGCAGGCCCACTTTTCAGAACACCATGATATACTTTTCCATATGAACCCTCACCGATTAAAGATTTTGTGCCAAAGTTATCTGTCAAATCTTTCAATTCATCCACTGGAATGGCAGCGACAGCAATGGGAAGGATATTTACAGTCTGAGTATCCACGGGTGCAGCTTCTTCGTGATAGTAACCTCCACTATTGCCTACATTTCAAATGTCGAGGTTTGCATCAATCAAACAAGAAGCCATAAAACGATGGACATCCAAAACCAAATGGCATACAAGTTATTATCTTCAACGCTCTTGATAAGAATACCATAAATATAAACACACACAGGGTACCTGCTGAGTGATTTGTTACATGTGGTCCATTCTCAGAAGCTCTACGGGTGTCATCTTGTACACAACAACTGAAGCAGCTCATAATCTTTTTTCCTGAAGGAAAAAACATCTTAAGCAATCTTGCATAGACAAACCGTGCGCGATAAAGTTCATCTAACAAAGATCAATGCTTTCAGGATAATTATAGAGTCGGCTTAATTAAGTAGACTAAAACCTCAACGAACCAACATGCTTTGTTCCAATTCCCCAGTTTATTCTCTACATGTCAAACAAGATAAATGAAGAAGAAGCACTTGGATATCACCCAAAAAATTAAAAAACACAAACAAAAATATGCATCAAATTCAAAGGTTAAATCCATCAATTTATTCAATTAACAAATAAACTACATCAATTCAAAATCTCAAGATTGTCACTTAAAATCCATCAACAAGGAGAGATTCATATTTACAACAGCAAATAAAATTCAAAGCTTTCAATTTCTACATGTTTCTCTTGGGAATTGTCTAAAAAAAACAAACAGATACACTAAATCAAAAGAAAAAGAAGTCACAAAAAAAAAATCAATGAAAATTTGAAAAGTAGCAAAATTGTGGGGGAAAGAAGGCTCGCCTTTGGTACGTTTGAATGGTTCTTCTGGCAATTGGGTTTTCTCAGTTTTGAGTGAAGTGTTGGAATTGGAGTGATGAGTGTGATCAGGGCGGCTATGGAGGTCTGCAGGAGAGGGAGAAGGGAAGGCGGCGCACGTCAGCGGTTAGTAGAAGGCATGCAAATGGGGAGGGCTGGGATATCGGTATGTCTCCCTGTTCTGGCTTTTGACTTGTGTTACGTTGAAGGATTAGGATTGTCTTCCTTTTCTTTCCTTCCCGTCATTTCACATTCTTTATTTTATATTTTTATTTTTATAAAAAAAATTAATATAAAATATTCACATGACTTAGCCATGACCGTTCAAATAAGAGGAGAAGGAAAAAAAGAGGGACGAGAATTATACTCTAATCAGAAATATTTGAAGCATTTATGTGAGTTTAAAGAAATTGACGAACATTATGTTTTAAGAAATATTAAAATTTTATCGTAATAATTAAATAGACAAATTATTTCAAATTAAATCGAACATTTACAAATATAATTTATGAATCTAGACTTAAAAAATAGACAATACTTTTTATCTTTCCTTAAAAGGGCGTATAAATATCTGTTTCTTTTACATTTGTGTTATTATACATAAATAATTAAATAAAGGCCCAAGTCTAATCTGTCCATTGCACATGGAACAATTTTGACCCATGTTTCACCTTCGGGTCCAAAGAAAAGGTCCGACTGAATTCCGTGGTCAAGTTTTAGACTTGATGCACAAAGGGCAGTCCAACCTTTTTAGATCCGAAGCCAAAAATTACACAACTGTAGTCTTGACTTGTCTTGTATACCCTTCTTTCTTATTTTTTGGCTTTTTAATTCTTCTTTGTTTTATTCAATGCAAAGGCTAGAAATAAGTAGGGGTCGTGTATAGGGAGAAAATTATGTGTGGAAGTCATTTCGTTTCTTTTTTGATCAAGGAGATGAGATTCAAATTTAAAATCTCTTCCAACAATGAAAAGAGATGTATCACTAAACTAACAACTAAATAACACCGAGCATGTGTCTTCAAAACTAAAAATTTCTTCACTACAAGAGGCCGCTTCAATATGGTGACCGTCCAAACTTAGACTTGCAAACGAAGTTTGTCTCCCCTTTATGTTGCTAATAGTTCTACTTTACAAATACAAAAATATCGATCATCGGTTTCAGCCTCAATAAACTGAATACCTTGAATTACAAGAGTTATCTTCGTTGTGTATTTACCTTTCTCAGTACGTACCTTATTAGGTGATGCGATGCGAGGCAATACACACCTAAATTTCTTAAATAGTTTAAGAAAGTGACGAAAAAGAATGCTTAAAAACGAAAGGGATTGGTAAAAGGGAAGTCTCATCATCTCCATCTATCACTCTCACACTAGCCATGACGACACCATCTCATCTAGATATCAAGCATCGCAGCTAGGCAAATCAACCATTGTCTTTTACATAATTTCTAATTGTTAATTTGTACATGTAGCTGCTGCTAATTACATGTTTTCATTTATTACTTACCGTGTAAAGTCACTCCTGGACTAGTATATCATCTTGTATTATTCCTTGTAAACATATAAATGAAAGCTATTCTACCTGACTCAAAACATTATATGGTATCAACGATCCCTAAGCTTTAACGAGCAGTTTCTTAATTTTTTTCCTTGTGCACTCATAATGTCAGACGAGCAATCAACCAACTCCGGTTCCGTTGCCCACCCATCCAACTCTTTGCTTTCAGTTGATAACTCCAAATCGTTGATTATGATCAATGCTGCTGCCCAACTGCCTGTTAAACTCATGCCCATGAACTATCTTTCTTGGCGTGCTCAATTTATTGCCCTCCTCATAGGGTATGATCTCCTGAGATATGTCGATGGAACGTATCCCTGCCCAGAAAAATCAAACACCTTGTCATCCAGCGTATAATCTTTGGCTATGTTAAGATCAGCTACTGCTCCATGCCATCCTCACATCCATTTCCGAACAAGTTGTCTCTCTTATTGCCTCTGCCCTAAACTTCAAGGTTGCATGGGACAAACTCAAACAACTCTATGCCAATTGAGCTCGATCTCGTGTCATGAGTCTCAAAGAACACATTACTCTTATACGTCATGACTCCAAGCATGTTTCTGAATATCTCCAAGTTGTCAAAGCCATTGTCGATGGACTTGCTTTTATTGATGCTCCCATTAGTGATGATGACCTCGTCATACACATCTTAAATGGTGTTGAATTTGAGTTCAAAGAACTTGCAACTGTTGTTCGTGCCTGTGACAGCCCTATTTCCTTTGAAGACCTCCATGATAAACTTAATTGCTCTTAAATGCGAAGACCATATTGGGCCGAGTTGTTCTTAGCCCAGCCAGCCATCACCACGCCAAACAACCCCACGGCAAGCCATGTTGTGGCCTTCTCCAACCAACTTGCACACATCCTCGACCCCCGTCGAGCCAAATTTCAAGACACGTGGCTCCCGAAAATTACGAAGACAAGGAAAAATTAATTTTTTTTCTTACCCTGGTGTGGCATAAAGACGAAGAAGGCAACGAAATACAGTCATTTGCATGGGCAATTGTAGAAGATTGTTAGGGGAGGGGGAATAAATATCCTCTAGCTTTCTCTATCTTATAGAGTAGAATAAATTGCTCTCTAAAGTTAATTTAATAATCTATTGAAGGTAGACTTAAATAGACTTTAGAAGTATTTTATTTCCCTTTCATAGAAAGATCTAATTTCCAATTAAAGAGGGAATCTACATCAAAACAGGAAACAATCCTATGTTTCCTAAAGCAAGAAGATCTCTACACCTGTTATCTTTTCCTATGAGCAACCTAACAAGTGTGGGGGCATTTGTGGAGCCAAAAATAATCAAGAAAAATATTGAGGCGACATGTGGATTTTTGGATGAAAAAGACAAAATTACTCTCGAGGCACACTAGAACTCCCATGCGTAAGCAGCGGACAATCGCAGCTCAATCAAGGTCAAAGGTGATTAAGATAGGTATTTATTCAAAACCTATTTCATCAATCCTCATCAAATCCTCCCCACAAGGTAGCCCCAATTATTCATTCAAATTAGGTATTCATTCAAAACCTATAAATAGTCCTCATTTCTCCAAAAACCAAAGTCCAATTCTCTTCTAAAATTCTTCAAATTTCTCTAAACACTTTTCCCTCAAATTCTACATTTGGCATCGGAGGTTCTTTGGCCAAAGCCACCCCCCTCCCCCCAATTCATCATGGGTGCGTGAGGCTCTTGGCCTTGACCTAATGTGTTAATTGTTTTGCAGGTGCATTTTCGTCTAAGAAGAAGAAGGCAGAAATTTGCATCCACACTGCTAATTACATGTTTTCATTTATTACTTTCCGTGTAAAGTCACTCCTAAACTAGTATATCATCTTATTCCTTGTAGACATATAAATGAAAGCTATTCAGCCAGACTCAAAACATTATAATTGGAAGGCGTTACACTGTACATAATCTGTAATGGTTTTAACATGGAGTCAAGATGGGAAGCTAGGGTTCTGGTGTGCATGAAGAATGAAGATAACCTGATGACCCGATCTACCCTTCCCTTTGTGCTTTTGACATCGTGCAAATTGCCAAATCGACAAAAGCTTTTTTCATATGATGGAAATATCCAACATCCTGGGGGGACACCAGTGCAATGCATGCATGGATCCGGCCATTCAGTTTTCACAGCCAGAATTCAATTGATCACGACGTAATTCAATGAGCATTTGAAGACTATTCCATCAGTATTTGAAAGATTAAAAATTAACGAACGCCTAAAACAAATATCGACAAAGTACGTACCCATCCTGCGTTCCTCATGTGATTGTTGTGGAGCCAAAAATAATCACAAGGCGACACGTGGATTTTTTGGACGAAGAAGACAAAAATACCCTTGAGGTGTATTAGGATTCCTACACGCGAGTAGCAGGCAATCATCATCAACCAAGTCAGAAATGCCCAAAATAGGTAACAATTCAAAACCTATTTCATTCCATATATTTCTTACCTCTTTTTCCCTCTTTTAGCTAATCAATTAGCTATCATTACATAACCTTCAAAATATTCATTCCAAAAATATGTTAATTGGCTAATTAATGGATTAATTACCCAATTAATCCATTAAATGTCAATTAAGTCACCCAATTAACCACAAAATATACCCCAAAATCCCAAAAGGCCGGGCACCCTTGTTGATCTCATCATATTTACCTATTTTATCATACTAATTAGCTAGTTAATTTGACAATAATTATATTTGCTAAATTAACTAGTCAATTATTCCCATAACTCCTAAATTCAACCTAAATCAAGAACCTAGCCCACAAAAGGAGCTAGGTGGTAGGTCCTCTCTCACCCAAAAAGGCCGGCCATTCTCCTATAAAAATGCTCATATTTTTTCCAAAAGACACTTCTAACTCTCTTACTAAAATTCTCTAAAAATTCTCAACTACTTTCTCTCTAAATTTGACTTTGGCATCGGAGGTTCTTCGGCCAAAGCCCCCCCCAATTCATCGTGGGTGCTTCGGCCAAAGCCCCCCCCAATTCATCGTGGGTGCGTGAGGCTCTTGGCCTTGACCAAAGGTGTTAATTGTTTTGTAGGTGCAATTTTGTCCAAGATCAAGGAGGAAGAAATTTGCATCCACAAATTGGTGCTTTCATTGAGAGTTGAGATCCATACTCATAGAAGACTCTCGCATAAAAATGTTTTTCTTTATTTTCTAGTCCATTTGAATATTTTTCATACGTTCTTATTATTAGAATTTTTTATTTGCAAAGGTTCTTTGATAAAACGTATAAGAAAAATATAATGGCTCGACATTTAGAAAATTCCACAAGAAAAAATTCCAATACTCAAGAAATGGGACCACGGAGATCCACGAGGCAAAATGCAGTCGTAAGCGGAGTGGCACCACCACTACGAGGTTCCATCATGGCCCAAGCCGTGCCATCCAAGCTTACACGGGCTCGAGCCCAAGCCTCGCATTCGCATGCATCACGCACTGAGCAACTTGCTTCCATAGCCTAGCCTGCTCCCGTGATCTAGCCTGCTCTCGTAGCTCAGCCTGCCCCTATGATCCAGCCTACTCCCATAACACAGCATGCTCATGCAACCCAGCTTACTATCATGGCTTCCCAAGCAGCCCAAGTCGCACCGAGACTATCTCAACCATTCAGACCAATCATTGAGCCAGAGGTATTTTCACCACGTTTTTCCACGGATTTGACATTTCCCAACTCAAATCTCGAGCTCGGGGCCCACCATCTTCCCGCTGCTTAAGGAGGCACATTCTATCCAAGCTTTTTCGATCCGAATGGTGAACAAAACTTGTCCCGACAAGTCATAGAATTAACAAGCGCCCTTGCACAACAGACGGCCTTGGTAAATTAACTTTTGCAATGCACTGAGATCCAATGTGCCCTAGATGAGGTGTCTCGAAATAGGATAATGGCAAACGAGGAACCTCTCAAGCAGCCACTCAACCAACCACAGGTCGAGCATTCGGGCAGTGTACACTCCCGATTGGGCCCCCAAAATAGCGTATATTAACGTCTTAGCGGGCGGAGGAGCGCGCGCTTTTGACTAGGCCCATAGACAAGTATACATTCATGGTTAGGGCCACACTCCGATAATCAACATGAGCAGCCTTTTAGGCAAAACGTTCATTCGCGGTTAGGTCCACAATGAGCATTATCCACATCACATCGGAGCATACAGCATGACAACCGGAGATAAGCGGTTATTCAATCCGGTTCAAGTTTAACCAACAGCTTGCGAAAAAATCCCTCACCTGCTAGGAATCTATCTTATATACAATAGTCGCGACATAGACAAGCCGAGCGTGTAGAAGGGCAGCCTGGACCAGCAGATCAAGACTTGAGGCAGCCAAGAGCTCTGCTACCCCCAAGAAAGGTAGATCCAAGAAGAGGTAGAAAGACTTTTCAATGAACGATTGCGTGATTTTCAATGCAACGAAATGGTTGATGAAGCACTAAGGCGAGATATGGCCAACATAAGCAAGTCACCCTTCATAGACGAGATTGAGCAGGCAGAACCTCCACACAAGTTTAGCATGCCGCACTTCACATCTTTCAAAGGAGATGGAGATCCAAAGAGGCACTTGAAGCACTACCGAAGCGCGATAGTCCTTTATCGGAACAATGATGCCCTTATATGCAAAATATTCGCCACCACTCTACAAGGTGAGGCACAAGATTGGTTTCACACCTTGCCACCACGATCCATCCAGAATTTTGATGATCTTTCTTTGGTTTTCACCAAAGAATACTCATCTTATCGCTCGATCAAGAGAAAGTCTGATCACTGTTCAACATAAAGAAAAACCCAAAGGAGTCACTCCGCGACTACGTGAAGAGGTTCAAATTGGAGAAGGCGAAGACCGTCAGATGTGATGACTCGATAGCAAGTGCAGCCTTCCAAAAAGAACTCCCAGCAGACCACTCACTGTTCGGAGAAATGATCATGAAAGAAGACCTAACTTTAGCAGATTCCTTCGCCCTGGCAGAGAAACATGCATTTTGGGACAAGGCTCGACGAGCAGAGAAGGCACCCGAGCAGACTAAAAAAGAGTCGACAATTGTTCAAAGGAAGGAGGACAAGAAACCGCCTAGCAAAGGCAAGCAGGAGGCCAAGCGCAGGGTCTAACCCATAATTAAAGAAGGCTCGATAACCAAAAACTATTCTAAGTTCTCAATTCCGATCCATTAAATCCTTTGTGATATCAAGAAAGAGTTGTGGTTCAAGCTGTCGAAACAATCAAAATGAGATACTTCCAAGTTAGACCATACCAAATATTACGCATTCCACTGGGGTCCCAATCACACAACCGACGACTGCTACACTTGGAAGAACTACCTAGAGAAGCTCGTGAAAGAAAGCAAAGTCGATAGATACTTGGACAAGCTGGCTGTGCAGCCAAGAAGGAATGCAGACGAGAATGAGGAGCTGCCAACCAAGATGATTCGAATCAATGGCATTTTCGCCGAATCCGAAGGCCACCAATAACTCTAAAAAAAGGAAGATCCAGCAGGCTTTACTAATCTCACAAATCCAAGCTGGCGATATCCAACTTGGACCTATTATTGGTTTTACTGAGCAGGATGCAGAAGACGTCGATTTCCCGCATGATGATGCACTAGTAGTATATGTCCAACTAGCCCATGCTATAATTGACAAGATGATGGTTGACAATGGAAGTGCAGTCAACCTACTACAACTTTCAGTCATTCAAAAGATGGGCCTGGAAAGCACAATCATACGCCAAGCAGAAGTACTTACCAGATTCAACGGACATACCTCAACTGCCATTAGCCACATCACACTTGACGTGAAAACACCGTCAGTCGTCTCAAAACAAATGTTCACGATCATAACCGACCCATCTCCCTACAATGGGATTCTTGGGAGACCTTGGTTAATCAAGCTAGATGCCGTCACTTCAGTCAAATATCGAAAAATTCGATTCCGTATCCCGGGAGGAGGAGGAGAAGTGATCAAGTCTGACCAGGCCTCATCACGACAATGCACTGTGAAAATGTTGAAATAAACAAAACAGAAGACCTTTACCTCCCCCCCCGGCACGCGTGCGTAGAGGCTACTGAAGTCCAAAAAGGCGAATAAGCTACCAAATAGCAATTACAGCAGGTGGATCAAGAAGATGGCGCCCAAACAGACGAGATAGGATGGAAACCCAAAGAGGACGCCGAAGACATCATTCTTGATCCCCAGCAGTCGGAAAAGACGGCTAAAATTGACTCATGTCTAAGACCAGTTGAGAAAGAAGAAATCACAACTTTCCTTAGAGAAAACCAAGACATCTTCGCATGGTCATCATCCTACATGCTCGGCATTGACCCTGAGGTGGCCTGCCACAAGCTGCACTGCAACCCCACTGCCAAACCGGTAATCCAAAAGGGAAGACATTTTGCACCTGAGCGAGTAGGTGATCATCGAGGCAGAAATTGACAAGCTATTGGAGCCCGAATTCATAGAAGAGGTAGCACAATCAGCATGGCTTGCCAATGTCGTACTAGTCATGAAGAAAAAGAAAGGCAAATAGAGGGTTTGCGTAGACTACACCGACCTCAATAAAGCATGCCCAAAAGACCCTTATCCTGTCCCTAAGATCAATCTATTAGTAGATTTAACTTCTGGGAACCAGCTGCTCAGCTTTTTGGACGCATACTTCAGTTATGACCAAATAGCCATGTACGAGCCTAACAAGGAGAAAACTGCGTTCATGATAGAGGGGGGCACTTACTGCCACAAGGTCATGCCTTTTGGCCTAAAAAACGCAGGAGCCACTTACCAAAGGTTAGTAAATATGATGTTTAAGAAACAAATTGGGGTAACCATAGAGGTCTATGTCGATGATATCATGATAAAGGGTAAGTAGCGGTCAGACCACATTCGTAACTTGGCAGAAACTTTCAATATCCTTAGAAAGTACAAAATGAAGCTCAACTTTACCAAATGCACGTTTGAAGTATCTTCAGGCTGATTCCTAGGGTACTTAGTAACTCAACGAGGAATTGAAGCACATCCCAAGCAAATCCGAGCAATCTTAGAGATGAAGTCTCCAACTACCTTGAAGGAGATCCAAAGCTTGATCGGACGAGTAGCTACCCTCAACCGCTTCCTCTCATGGTCCACCAATCGATGCAAGCCTTTTTTCAAAGCTATCAAGAGGGCAAAACGAGACAAATGGGATGAAGAGTGCGAAAAAGCTTTCCAAGACTTGAAGAAGTATCTCACGTCACCTCCCTTACTATCCAAACCAGAAGCAGCGGAAGATTTATACATTTATCTGGCAGTTTCCGAAGTAGCAGTGAGCTCTGCCCTCATACGAGAAGAGCTGGGAACTGCCGATATTCTACACTTCTAAAGCTCTTCTCGATGTGGAAACAAGATATCTGAAGATCAAAAAATTGATTTTGGCATTAGTTGTTGCGGCTCGGAATCTCAGACTATACTTTCAAGCTCATACAATCATTGTCATAACTTAGTATCCTCTACAATCAATCTTACATGGTCCAGACGCTTCCCAACGAGTGATGAAATGGGCATTAGAACTTGGCCAATATGGTTTAGTTTTCCGACCTCGCACAATGATAAAGGCCCAAGCCTTAGTGGACTTCATAGCAGAATTCGCACTTAGCCTAGGCGATGCAACAAAGCAGCCTAGCAATATTCCAAAAGCAGTCGAACATGCCTTAGCCATGCTTGCATCCCCAAGCGAAGATTTCTGGCATTTGCATGTTGATAGCACATCCAACTACAAAGGCTCGTGGGCAGGCGTGGTCCTTGTTTTAGACGGCTCAATACTTAAGCAGGTGATCACTCTAGGGCTCAAAACATCCAACAACGAAGCAGAATATGAGGCCCTACTATCAGGCCTCCGAATGGCGAAAGACTTAGCGGTGAAAAAACTCGCAATTCATTTTGATTCCCAACTAATCACCAGCCAGGCTACTGGGGAATACATGGCAACATCCAATGATGGCGCAATACCTAGAGAAAGTACGCCATCAGCTTGAGGCATTTTAGACTTACACTTTCACCCAAGTTCCGCGGGCAAACAACGCCCATGTAGATGCGCTAGCAGGTTTAGGCTCTGCTCTCGACCACCAATTTAAATGCTCCATTCCGATGGAATATCTTGACAAGCCAAGCATAGAAATGGAGTCGACAGCCGAAGTGTCATAGGTTAGTGTAACTTCTAACTGGAAAAGTTCTATCATAGACTACTTGGTCAACGATACACTACCCATCGAAAGATTGGAGTAAAGGAAGCTCTAAATCAAGGTAGCACGCTACTATATGTGGAACGACATTCTCGTCCAAAAATCCTACACCGAACCACATCTCCGTTGCTTAGCACCTCCCGATGACTTGAAGGTCCTAAGCTCAATCCACAAAGGCGTTTGTGGGAATCACTCTGGAGGCCGATCCTTAGCACAAAAGGCTCTTAAAGCAGGCTACTACTGGCCTACCATGCACCAAGATGCTAAGAAGTTAGTACAAAAGTGCGATTGTTGCCAACGCTACAAACCGGTACCAGCACTACCTGCCAGCGAGCTACACTAGCAGACAAGTCCTTGGCCATTCATGCAGTGGGCGATTGACCTGGTAGGGCCTATGCCGCCTGCTACTGGGGGCAAATGCATGATGATTGTGGCAACTGACTACTTCACCAAATGGGTAGAAGCAGAGCCCATGACGACCACGACTCAGACGAACATAGAGCGCTTAATATGGAGGAACATCATTTGCAGATTTGGCATCCCTAAGTCCATCGTCACTAACAATAGCTCGCAATTTGTGGGAAAAGATTTGGTGAAGTTCTTCCAAAAGTATAGCATCAAGCAACACATGTCCACGCCAAGGTATCCTCAAGGTAATAGGCAGGCTGAAACATTCAACAAGACGATCCTCGACTGCCTCAAGAAATCCCTTATCGACAAAAAGGGAAAATGGCCAGATGAACTCCCCAGATGTTTATGGGCATATCACACCATCAAAAGACGAGCAACCAGTGAGACTCCTTTCTCTTTAGCATTTAGTTCGGAAGCAATCATTCCTCCCAACATCATCGTGCCAAGCATCAACACTCTGTTGCCAAACATTGAGCAGAACAACAAAGAGATGGCCACAAACTTAGATCTAGCAGAGAAGAGGCATGAGCAAACAATCACCCGCATTGCAGCCTACCAGCAGCAGCTCATTTCCAGATACAATAAAAGGGCTAAGATCTGGCAGTTCCAACCTGGAGATCTAGTCATAAGAAAGGTCTTCATCACTGCCCGCAAAGAAGGCTAAAAAAAGATGGATCTCATATGGGAAGGTCCGTACAAGATCATCAGAGTAGGCAGCAAGGGTAACTACACCCTCGCCACCGTGAATGACAAAGAGATCGAGAACCAATGAGACGCCTACAATTTAAGGAAATACCATGTGTGACTTCCCACTATATCAAGGCCCAAAGACTTAAGCAACTTAACGGGCACCACCTCGTAAACCAAGGACTATCCAGTTGTCATGGTTTTTACAGCTAAGTTATTCGTCCATTTCATTCACTTTTCAATAAAGAAGTTAAAAGTAATTTGCAACTTGGCTCGACTACATGTCTACAACAACTTATATCTCCTGCATTTCAAAAGAAGATCGCACCCCTTTTTGGGAATCACCGCAGAAATTGCATCCCCCGAGGGACCGACTATGCTCTCCAAAGCGGGAGGATAAACTTAACACTCCGAATGTCTAAACGTGGATGAGCCTGGCTACCCTAGTATAACTAAATGCATGATGGCTTGCGCCAGGATTCATAGAAGTACCCACAATGGTCTTTTTCAAGGCTTAGCTAACTAAAGGATTTTGGGTTTCTTGGCCTAATCCGTGGGGAACTGGGCCCTAGAGACGGAAGGGGCACATTACGCAGTACACCCTACGGGCGGCTGCCCTGGAAACCTAAAGCTGATACCGAGTGCATTAAGGTAGCCTATGGTTTTTCGGAAGACTGCCTATGGCTTGCCCTTCAAGCAATGAAGCCACGTTAGACTTGTACAACTACGCATCCTTGTGAAAGGTTAAACAAGCTAGTGTGCACATACACTACCAACATGCTACGTAGTCAATAAACTTCACCT